AAAGACATTTTAAAAACACATGAGTCAGAGGAGTTCTAAGTTTTCTACTCTTTTCTTCCCCAAGTATTGGATCTAAAATACTAAATCCTACTATCTCCCAGAAAAACAGGGAAGCTGGGGGCTAGAGCACAGGACTTATTAACAATTAGATGGGCAAAAGAATTCTCTTTTCAAATCTGTGACTTTCTGTTTCACAGTCTTGGCTGTTATCTCTAACGGTGGTAAGGAAGGTCTGAAGGGAGGTAGCCCTCGCTTCTGAATGACTCTGTTTTAAGGACTTTATCAGACACATCTGCCGGGTTTCTAACAATGGGAGGCAGAGGGATTGGAGAGACTGCAGAGAACTGTGGTTTACAGGGGAGCCGCATCTGTTTGGTATTCTCCCATGGGAGACAGTCTGACTTCTGGAATAGCATGGGGCTCCTAGTTAAACCTGAATCTAGCAACAGATAAAAGCTTTTCTTTCCTCAGTGTTTCTGTGGTAGCGATCAACAGCTGTTCATATCCTTTAACACCTAACTAAGGGTGAAGCCTTCACATCTGTCAGTATTTTATGCTTCTATTTCCTTGGCCGACAGTGGGAGGAGGTAAACCCCCCACCCCAATTCCCAGCAAGAACACAGAAATACATTCAAGAGTCAGTGCTGAAATTCCCATCAGAACTCCTCATTTCTCATCCTCCCAGGGCCAGTGGTTTGCCTAGAATTCTTCTTTCACTTTATCCTGACAGACGTCTTGATCATTTCCACGGTAATAACTCATGACAGCCCAAAGATCAAAAGGAAGAAAAGTAGGCTGGAATCAGGGGGAGGAAGAGAAGGAGGAGGAAATGGATTGGAACAGAGAGTGGCTTCTAAAAATACATTCTTCCAAAAGACAGCAAATATAACATCTGAAAGCAAATCACAGAGATGAGCAGGGTTCTGAGAAAGACACCCATTGTGGTGATGGATGCTGGAGGTTTTTACTGAGCCCTAATATTTCACCCTGGAAAAGTTAAACAGAGAGAATGAAACAAAAATCTGTGGAAAGAAAGTATAGGAAATATCCAGGAAAGGTAACAAAGGATTCAGAGATATTTGTTAAGCTTTGCTTTGATAATCATTGCCATACATACGTTAGGACTCTATAAAAATTATCTTCCCATCCACGCATCTATCCACTCAGTTATCCATTCATTTGTCCAGCAACTTGTTAGGTACCAAGACGGCATTGAGTGCTGTGATATTCAAATGAATAGGATGTGTTCTACAACTCTACGGAGCTTATCTTCTTTTTCTGTTTTGGTTTGGTTTGTTTGGTTTTGAAAAGGGGTTTAGCTGTGTTGTCCAGGTTGTCTCAAAGTCCAAGGTTCAAATGATCCTTCTACCTGTGCCTCCCTAGCAGTTGGAACTATAGGCATGCATCACCATGTCCAGCTAGATACTAACAGGTGAAAGCCTTCACAGAAGACATGTATCGCAACTGGACCCCAAAGGATGCATGAGAATTCACTAGACAAAGAAGTGGGTGATTACAGAAGGAGAGAACTCATATAAAACCACAGTAAGAACTAGTTTTTTGGGGGAATAGAAAGCATTCCAGGTGATCATAATAAACAGCAGAGTGGTGGATGCTTTTTAAAACTGAAGGTTCATAAGGAAGTCAACACAATAGTAGGAAACAGTGCTATTAAAAGTGGACAAAGATTGTGAATAGACATTTCACAAAAGAGGACAAATAGCCAACAGGTATATGAATGGATAAAGAAAATGTTATGTATATATCACTCAATATATGATATATACATAACAAAGTGGTACATACAGTATATCCAAGGAATGAATGAACAAAGAAAATGTGGCCTATACCCAGTGGAGTACTATTCAGCCTCTAAAAGGGAGGAAATACTGATACTTATGGGTAGACCTGGAGAACATTATGTGACATGAAAAAAGCCAGGCACAAAAAAACAAGCCTTATATGATCTCATTTGTATGTGGAACCTAAAATAGTTGAATTCATAAAAGCAGAGAAGAATGGGAGTAACCAGGGGGCTAGGCGGGCAGCATGTGAGATACTGGTCAAAGGATACAAATTTCGGTTAGGGAGGCGGAATGAGTTCTAGAGCTCAATTATGCAACGTAGTGACTACAGAAAGTCTTACTCGGGGCCTTGTCTCAGTCCAGGAAGTTTATATGTATAATCCCATGGAAAAGTTGAATTCCTATAAGTTAATTCCAATCTACCACTTCCAGAGGAACCCATGGTGAGAGTAAAGATGCTAGGGCATATCTGCAGTTGTGGGGAGCCAAGGAGGTCCTACATCCAGCTAGTACGATGGCTACCCTAAACCAAGGTCTCTACCCAAGGCTGAACCAAGGTTTACTAATTGGTGAAGAGGAGAGTGGCTTGGGGATGAGTGACCATGAGGGTGGCAGGAAGTACAGCACTCACTGCTGCTGTGAGTGCCATGAGCCGGGCTAGGTAGGAGGGCTGAAATCATCTCTGCAATATGCAGAGGGAAGGACATGCGGAAAGAGGAATCTGCATCACACGATTCAAGGCAGTAGCTGATGTTCTGGAGTTGGTGATTCAGTTCTGATATGCACTCTTTTATAACCTGGGAAGTCCTAGCCTCTTATCTCGAGGCTCAATCCCAGCCAGCAGCGTGGAGCACGGCTCTCCCTCCTGGCTCACATGCTTCTGGGGAGCTACGGGGTGGGGCAACAGTGACCTGTCACCTTGCTTCAGGGACTACATGTCAACCCCTCAGCTAGCCTGATTTGCACTGCTTAAAGCCAACTGGGGGATAAAGACGAAACTGAGCCAGCTCTGCACATATCAACACAAGGAAATAGGGCCAGGTGTAATCAAAATGCAGACAATTGCTCTTCTTTCAAGGAGAGTTGTCCAGGTATCCTCCACGGTGACTATACCGTAGTTGTTTTTTTTTAAGTGCAGTTCCTTAGATCATACCTTAGATTTTAATTTTGTAGTTAAAGGAAAGGATTGAAGAAATTACATTTTGAATAGAAAGCTCAAGTGATTTTGATATATTCAGAAGTCTGACAGCTCTGATTTATATAGCATAACTTTTCCCAAAAGATGTTACTGGTGTTTCAGTTGGAAGAATACCAAAAAGGTTCCACGTCAAATCAGGACACACTATGCACTAATGTATTTGTTTCTTGGAAATTCATAGTGCATATTGACATATGTCAAATCCTGTGGTAAAGTTAGTTTCACTCAGCAACTCCCAAATGTACTTCTCCATCGGGAGGAAAATCCCATTACGGTTTCTTAGAATACAGACTACAAGTGTGATGTGGAACATAGAGGGGGCAGAGCTGAGAGTGAGGACTCAGTTGTCTGTGTTGTCCTCCCCACCCGCCATGCTGAATGCCTTCAGGACGCGTCTAGAAAGCGGAGTCAACTACCTGGGGGCCACGAAGGCATCCACTGATTTCCTCCAAGCAAAGTCTGAAACCAGCTATGATGCCGCTTCCCAAGCAGGCTGCCAGCAGCTGCATCGCTCTGGGCTGACACATGTACCCTGTGCTGAGACTCTTGGTTAGCAAAGCTCTGTGGTAATCACAGCTGCCAGAGAGCAGGAGCGGCCAGAGTTCAGGGCACCCAGGAGCAGACACAGGAAAGCAAGACAGGAGGCCTCCTCGCCCACGTTTGTTTATCTTTATTACTATCACACGCTCTACTCAGCGCTCTGGCAGTTTCTTGGAAAACTGCTGGAAAAGAAAAATTCCACTCAGCACCAGAAGCCGTGTCTGACAGTCCACGGAAGTGCATAGGGACAAGAGCCTGAGGAGTTCCTGCCCTTCCAAGGTGCTGTGCGCAGGGGAGTGTTTGAACCTGCCTTTTTCCTCCTCTGTCCTCCTTCATCCCCCGCCTCTTTCCTGTCCTCCAGCACAGGAGAAAGGAAGACCTGGACCAGCCACAGCAATACCAGGATCCTGATAAACTCGTGTGCTGAATACTTCAAGATGGACCATACTGCAACGATCAGTTTAGACACTTTATTTTCCTGGTATAAACATAAGTACTTCCTTATGTCCCCTTCTCAGTGTTCCATGCCACATGACACCCCTCAGCCAGGGGTGATTTCAAGTGTGTTTCAAATGTACCTTTTCACCCCCCAGCCATCTCAGAGCTATTTAAGAATGCTTTCTAATGCACATTATTTATTCAATCATTCCAGAGATGTTTCCTGAGTCCTCTGCAGGGTCCGAGGCACTGCGCTAGGCACTAGAGACTACAGAAGCAAGAGACTACTCGCTCCTACGGAGCTGCAGTCATAAAGCAGTGAGTTCCCACTTCAGCCCATCAGTGCATGGGAAATCCAATGGCCAGAAGCATCAGGAATGTGAGGGCTGGAGGTTTGGTCCTTCTCCTGGAGTTTTATAGCCTATAGCTGAGAGCAAACAGAAACATTTGCATTTCAAGTGTGCCAATAGGTCTAGCAGCTACGCAAGGGTCAGAGTTAACAGTACAGTCTGGGACTGACAACCTATGATGAACAGAGGAAGGAGAATGCTAGGATTTTTATTTCTCCCAGGTGTGAACTCCTGTTTATCTGCCCCCAAACAAATCCACATATTCTCACACTGAGTTTCTTAATCCTGAAAGAGAAATGCTGCCAGACATCCCACGTTATGAGTCAACATCATTAGTCAGTTAGCCAAAAAATAAAAATCTTACCAGGATAACTGGATGGGATTGGAGTTTAGTCCTAAGAAAGCCAACAGACTAAGCCTAACCCTTCTCTAGTGTTCCCCAGCATGTAATACATGTATCACTGGGGTCACAAGTTAATTCTTTTCATTTCAATTCAGTTTTACATGAGGAGACAGAAACTGCACGAGTAGGACGGATGGGCTGTAGGGAACCACTGACACGGGAGCTTCCAGCAGTCATAGCCAGCTCTGGAAGGATCACTTCTGCAAACTTTCAGAGAGCGAGGGTGTGGATGGCAAAACAACCTGAGACATTGGCCATGGACTTACCCACACATGTCGGAAATATTTCCTCATTATTGATCTGGACTTCAATCCAGTCCATGAGAAGGTTCATGTACTGGGGAGCCGGCAGCGCCGTCGGTTTCTTATACTTGAGGTCATCCTGCCACCGATACTCATACTTGGGGCCCCCTGACATCACAGGGCAGGTCCGCTCGGTGCAGAACTCACAGATGGTGCCGTAGATGAGGTTGATCCGATTGAAGAAGTCCACCACGTGCACCGCCACCCAGTCATTCTGGTCCTCCCCACTGGGCAGCTGGACGGCAGCCTTCAGGTCCACGCCCGAGTTGAGGGATGCCTGAGCCCGTTTGTGCAGCTCAAACCTCTGTGTGCCAGGTTCGAATTTCCTCTTGGGCCGAAAGGTCTTGTCCTTGTTGAACACCTGCTTCAGGGCTATGGACATGGTCTCCTCCTTCTCTTCCTTTCTTTTGCAGGAAGCAAAAAGGCACTTGGAACTTCTCAGCGAGAGATCACAGCCCAACAGGGTTTTCCACTGCCAGCCCTCAGGCCCCAGTCTTGCGGCCTGCAGCTTTCACTCTCTCTTAAATACGCCCCTCCACCTTCCTCCCGAGTGACTTCCAAGGGAACTTCATGTTCTTCCCTAAAGGCAGAAGAGAAAAGGGAATCTGTGAGTGTCCAGTTCACACTGAAGAAACGATAACGGCCGAGGCCTGATTTCCCCCGTGTTCCCGGCTGTGTCACCCCCGTCCAGGCGTGTGAATGTGGAGGTCCAGCCCTCGCCCTGTGACTCTGCACTGGCGATGCGGGCCTCATGAGCGTCTAAAGGAGAATGGGCATCACACTGTTCCTTCATGGCCTTTGTCCGATCTCTGCCGGCTCCTCTGTACGATCATAAACTCAGAGGGCCGCTCCCAGGTGGGACGGGTAAGTAGATTGGTCAGTGACTCAATTCGATCCCCCAGCCCACATATACTCCTTATTAGTGCTCCCCACTCCCTCTGCTCGGTAAGCACAGAGCCACTACCCGTTTTCCCAGGGAGAAGGGCTGGCTATTACCCCAAGCCAGGCAGTAAGAAAATCTCTCCTGGGAATTTGGAAGCAGGGCAGGTTTTGTTGGCCATGATCCACGACAGGTGATGTAAACTGGGACTGGCTGAACCCTGTCGTATGGACCTTGTGTAGTGTAAAGAGAATGTCGGTCTGCAGAGCTGAAAAGGGAAGGAAGGGAGGAGCAGGGGGAGGGGAAAGGGAGGCAGTAGCGTTGGGAGCTCCTGACACACAGAACTGAGAGAAGAGACCGAGCGGGCTCAGAAAGAACACAGGACAGAGTGAGACAGACAACGAGAAGGGAAAACTGGCGTCTTTATTTCCAGTAATCGTCCAGGAAGCAGTTCCAGTTCCTGAGCTGAAGCTCAGCTGTGTTTCCTACCTTTCCGATCCGCTTGCTTTCCCTGAATTAGTCACACCCTTCATTTTATTTGCGCTAACTGGACTGCATTCCGTGTCTACTCCAAAATGCCCAACTATGACAACTTGTATCACCTCTACCGTGTGCTATTATTGTATCCTTAACATTATACTTTAGATGGCACTTTGAAACAGAGCTGTCCAATGGAACTTTCTGTGATAATGCAAAAGTTCTATATATATTTGTGCAATATGGTAGCCACCAGCTATACATTCCTGCTAAGCATGTGGAAGGTAAATGGTGTTACTGAGGAACTGGATTTTACATTTTATTTTGTTCTAATTAATTTAAATAATCACACATGGCTAGTGGCTACCATATTGGAGACTAAAGCTTCAAAATCTTTGATGTTCTCCATTATTTCACTGGATCCTCACAAAAATCTAGCGATGTCTATAGTTTAATAGTAGATTAATAGTTAATTAATAATAATTAATAATAGATGCATGCCAGGCATCTCTCCCTGGATCTCCAGGAGATAAAATGGCTTGCCTAACGAGGCCCCACAGCTAACAGCGGGCACAAAACAGACTGAAATCTACTTTGTAGATCCCTGGTAAATGCTCATGTCACATGGTCTTATGTACCTTTTTTTGTTTTTGGTACCCGGAATCAAACTCAGGACCTTGTGCTTGCCAGGCAGGCGCTTGTGTCGCTGAGCTATATCCCCAGGCCCTGCATATTTTTAAAAAATGGAGCCTTTCCACCTGTTTTCCCCACTGCCTTTCATGAAGTTCTCTTTATCCAGAGCTGTATGCCTCTTACCTTTTACACCTATATCCCCAAAGACTGCCAGTGGCTAAGGCGAAGGCCGGGCTGTGGTCACGACACAGAGAAGAGATGACCAACACACTCACAGGGCAGACTCTAACAAAGTGCGCCACAGGTGAGGTGAGATCCAGAAAAGCCCACCGTGGAACCTGCTGGGAAGAATGTGGAGCACAGTCCCACCGAACGGCTTCATTCCTACCTGGCAAGAGTTCTGCCATCCCATCCTCAAACATGGCTTTGCGGTGCATTTGCTCTTGAATCATTAAAGCAAAAAGCTATTCCTACGATATCTCGGTTCTTACCATCAGACCCTGCTCCTAGTTCAGTGCTGCGGACCATGCCCAGTGCCTCTGCTTCCTTCCCTGCCTGCTCAGCCCCTCCCTCTTCACCCTCTCTCTCCCTAACAGCTTTCCACTGAAATGCCTTATCTGGGAGACGGTTCTGTATCCTCCCACTCTCGGGGCACTGAGCATGCATCCCAGCCTCACAAGGACCGTCAGGCAGACAAGCAGGTCACAGGACTTTCTGCCCGAGGCTGTGTAAATCGTACACCAGGTACTCTGAACTATCACCTGCAAGTATATCACGCAAAAACTGCAAACCCTAGGGAAAGAATGGACAGTCCCTTTTTAAAAAAAATACCTAAGGGCCAAGTTGTCTTAAGAAAACCGAGAGCCTTAAATGGCATTTCCAAAGTAAAGGTGTGAGCTAGACACTGTGATGACAGAGAAAGGATGGTGAGCACATTTTCTCAAGACAGGTAATACTCCTTCTGTACCTCCGATGCGTGACTGCCAACATTAAAGCAGTAACAGCCCGGCAGCTGCCTCCCCGTGCCTTGAGCAAAGCGATTTGTTGTTCTGTCACTGTGATAATGATCGATTTCCATGATCCTCAGAGCAGTCTTCTTGACCACCTTATGTGACCCTTGGTACCACTAATTCTGCCATTTCCCTGTGTCCACTTGCATGGACACTTCACCTGTGCCAGGCTTTCAAAACCAGGCATGCCTGGCACCTCAGATGGCAACACGTGAATGATGCCGAAGGAGCACAGTGAACCCTAGAATCCTGGAGTGACTGGTACTCAGACATTGAAAGAAATATGAGTCTTGTTTGAAATTTGTGGACTTGTTTTCAGAGATGTTTAAAATACTAAACTTCAAGGTGTCAGGCTCTTGCACTGGATGAGCATTTACCAAAAACCTTAACCCGTGTGAAAATCACCCTTTCATGTTGCCCCCGCTGAGCAGGTTCCCAAGGGAGAAAGCACCTTTGGAGGCCTCAGTGCTTTAATCCGCTGCTCTTGGTCACCACTTATTAAACTCTGTGACGCACAGACCCCAGCATTTCTCGCCCTCGCCCCTCCTTGTATAGTAGAAGTCAAGGCCATTTTATTTTATATAAAAGAAATTGAGGTTCAACTCGTTGAAATAATTTGCCAAAAATCAGTTAGCAGATGGTAAAGACTAAACCTCGAACCCACATCTCCCTGCCACTATAACACACATGATGTCTTCCCCATAAAGCTGTTTTTAAATCCTGCAAATATCCTCTAATGTTTTCAAAGCTCCTACACCTCTGTGCCTCAAGCCCCTCACCACAAAGCTCGAGGGGAAACCAGTGTAGGTGGCATTATCCTCTCCATTTCACAGGCGAGCAAACAGACGCTCTGTAGCGTTTGATACAAACTGTTAATCATTCTGACACGGCTGGACAAGAGGATGCCTCCTCTGGTGAATTTTTTCCTTTCATAACCTACAATGGAGCTCTCTTGAGAAGGAGACTGCTTGGTCAGGTGGGCCCCCGTGTTTAAAGACAATGACAGTCAGGAGGGTGAGAACCGGTATAGCATGCCACTAAGTGACTGAACAAAGAGGCATCCATCTTTGACGAGCGTCAGACGCTGTGTTGGCACAGAGACTTGAAAGAAGTTTGAAATGAACACAGCAACAATAAATCTACCGGCCCTCCTTCCTAACCCCTCCGACCAGTGGGATGCCTGCCCAGAATTTATCTTGTCAGCTAATTACACAGTGGAGTGGTGCTCACATGTTAACGTGGCGCTCTTGTTTAAAATGCAGGAGTTGATTCGCTTGGTTTGGGGTGGCAGCTAAGAGTCTGCATTCCTAACAAGCTCCTGGTGATGCCCAATCTACCAGTCCCCAGATGACACTTCAAGGCCTGATCTAAGTAAGGAAGCCTGTTTAGAAATGCAGACTTGTAGGCTTCCCTGCAGACCTGGTGGATCTAAATCTGAACTTTAACAACGTCTCAGAAGTGCATGCTTAGCGAAGCTCTGGCTGGGAGTCCTGGCTGGCCGAGTAACGGAATGAATGAATAAATTTCCACTTGTTTTGTGGACAGTTTGCTTCATAAACAGTCTTCAGCTGAGCGTGCAGGCGTCCAGGAAAAAGAATGAGGAGAGTGTCCCTGTTTTGAATAAGCCTGCCCTGACAGATGGTGGCACTGACCCAGTCTTTTGATCAGGAACTATTTGGATAGCACAGCACCCAGCACTAGGAGGTCCCCAGTGAATACCTCTTCACAATGCCAGATGGAGAGCGGATGCTGGACTGCAGCCGCACACACAGGATTTTCTGGGGTTGAAGAGAAGGTAGCGCTACAGTGACACAGTGGTTATTCTTCCTTGTCCAGTGTTCAGAAAGAAAAGAACAAATCATAAATTCTGTCCCCTGGGTAGAAATTGTAAGCAAATTCTAGTTATGAGTAGCATCCATTCCAATGCTGGTTCTCAGTACACTTTTTCTTCTTTGAGACAGTAGTCCAGGCCAGCCTCGAACTTGCTGCGATCCTCTTGCCTCACCCTCCTGAGTGCTGGGATTATAAGCGTATGCCACCACACCCGGGCTCGGTAAACATTTGAGGTCAATTGCTCATTCAATCAATAAACATTTACTAAAGACCTTTTATTTGTCAGATACAGGGCTAGCCACCAAGGACACAGAGTTAATTAGACTTGGCCCTGTCTAAGAAGAGTTCACAATCTGATGTCTAGTTTTGAGGTTTGAGGTTTTACTTTTCATGCTACAAAGTTTAATTCACCAGCGTGGATGCTGGTGTGATTCCCTCTGCGAGTTCCTCGGGTTAGAGATGAAAAGGACAATAAGGAGGGAGATCGTTTGAAAGATGGAAATCCAAATAAACAGCATAAAACTGACAGGCGCTCCATGTGTTCTCCATATTTTCTGCTTAATAGATCAATTTTAGCAGTAAAACAAATACTCCATAAAGTATGCAGAGAGGATCTGGCTGAGCTGCAAGGGAATGTTGATGAGGTAACTAAGCAACACTGGCGAGGAAAGTTCTTATTTTCCTTTTCCCATTGATGTCTTCTGCCTCATTAGCTGAAAAAATCAGAGTCCTTGCCAGGGATAAGGA